GTCATTTTTAACGTAACTCTAAGATGACAAATGCCAAACGCGAAAGGAAAATATCGATCGTTTAATTTCCGAATTGGCCTATATCGGAAAAACAAATAAATAATATTTGAAGATATCTTCACCGTTTGATATGAAATTGAAGGATTAGTCAAGAAAAATGACAAACGCAACCGCATACAAGAACAATTTTATACAACCTCAAACAACAAACAACCGGATATTGTTCAAAAAATGGCTACTGAAGTGATTGAAGTATTGTCGGTAAAAAGAAAAAATCAAATCGGTAGTCGAAGAAGTAAAAAAAAAAAAAAAAAAAAAAATGGATAAAATCGAATTAGGTAAGTAAGGATGTGTGGAAAGTGAAACCGGAAGTGATTCGTTAAATCGCCGTCGCACCGGAAGTCAATTTAAAAACCGTATGAAAAATACCGTAGATATTCTAACAAATATTTTTAATAAATCGAGTTAAGGTAAAAACCTGAAATAAAATCCTAGAAAAAAATCGATTATCCCTCCTTTCCCCAACCCAACCCCCCCAAAAAAAAACTTTTCGTAATTAATAATAATAATAATAAATAAAAATATTTAAATGAATTCTTTTTTTTTTCGTTAAAAAAGATTTTATTTTTATTAAATTTAAATTTTTGAAAAAAAAAAAAACTTTTTTCCCATTTTCCATTTTATTCTATCGATCCACGATAAGTGTTATGTATATATATGTACATATATTATTTTATTATTATGTACATAAAACCTTTTTTCAATAAAATTGCAAAAATTTACAATCGATATTTTTTTTTTATTTAAAAAAAAAAAAAAATAAAACGTTTCTCGTACACATTTAAATAAATAAATAAAATTTCATCGAATGTTTTTAAAAGACGAGTATTATTATTATTATTATCATTATTATCAACATTATTATTAATAAATTCGTTATTGAAAATTTATTAAGTTCTAACGTGAAAATAAATAAATTAAGGAATAATTATATAAAAATATAAAAAGAAAATAAAAAGGCGCCATTTTTATTTATTATTATTATTATAAATAATAATAATAATAATTTGTTTGTTTGTTTGATTCCCCCACCCCTCCCTCTCCCCTTTTTCTATTCGAGAATCAAAAAATAGGTCAAATCGAAAATTTTATCGAAAAATTTTCAAACAAAACGTAACTCAGGTGTCTTTAACAAAAAAAAAAAATATAAGAAATTAAATTAACACCTCGTTATCGTTTGTACGTTTGTTCGTTTGTTTGTTTTGTTTGTTGTTCTTTTGCGACATTGAAAAATTTCTTTTTTTCTTTTTTTTTTTTTGTTAAATTAAGATTTGAAATAAAAAATAAAACTTTTTAAAAAAATTTAAATAATTTAAAAAAAAAAAAAAATGACGACGACTACGATGATAATAATAAATTTATTGTTTTTTCGTTTTTAAGGGGGGGGGGAAGGAGTACGAACGAAAGGAAAAGGGATATGTCAGGGAAGATGGGAGGAGGAGGAGGGGATTAAGTAAGTTTTATAACCGTAATTAAATAAATTTAAGTGCGCAAAACTTTATTCCGATTTTATTTATTCAATTTAATTTTTTTATTTTAATGAAAATTTTACGGTTTTCGGTGTTAATTAAAACAATTTGGCAACTCTAAAGTAATTATTAAATAAAAAAAAGAAAAAAACAATGAAAAGGCAGAACAAAATCTTGCAAATGTTTTATTTTAATAAACAACAACAACAATAATAATAATAATGATAAAAGTTATCGTATTAAAAAAGAAAAAAAGGAAAAAAAAATTTTTTTTTTATTTGAGTCTGACCTAATTTTTTTTCCCGCGAAATTTGTGAAAGAAAAGAAGAGGAAGAAGGGGAAGAAGGAGGAAGAGAGGAGGAGGGAGGTTAAAAAGAAAAAATTATTGATTTTCGATTTATTAAAAACAAAAAAAAAACCGTTAAAGAATTAAATAAAAAAAATAATTAATTAAAACAAAACAAAAAGCATAAACAAATTCATGTTTCATTTAAAAATTTAAATACTCTTTTCTCCTCCCCTTTTTTTCGCGGGCTGAATTTTGATTGGTTGAAAATTTGTAAACAACCGAAAACGAGAATTGTTTAATAATTTTCACGAACTCACACGATCATAACCGATGTTTAAATATTAATATTTTTTTTCTAACCATGAGTGAGTGATGAATTTATGGTGAAAATTTAATTTTTAATTATTATTTTTAAAAAAAAAATTGTGTCGATAATATTTATTTATTTAAATAGAACAACAACAACAACCTGACAAACAACAAACAAGGTAAAATTTTTTATTTTATTTTTTTTTCCTTGTGAATTGAAATGCATCAGAAGCAAAATAAAATTTGTCCCAGTTTTTTTTTTTTTTTGAAATTTTCCAAATCGATACACGTTTGTTGCCAAAAAAAAAAAAAAACCTTCGAAAACATTGAAGGAAAAGTTTTTTTTTATTTTCAAGGTTCACACGTCATTTTAAAATCACAGACGACAAAATTAAATTAAAATAATAATAATAATAATAATAATAATAATGATTGGATGAAAATTTTAATATATCAAATATATCAATGAACGTAAACAAACAAAAAAAAAAAATTTTTTTTAACGCGAGATTTATTTACGATTTTTATTTTGGGGAGGTTGCGGAAGGGGGGAAGGGATTTTAGGGATGTTTGATGGTGATCCCAAACATTAATAACTCATAAATTTACGGGATTTATTACTCGCGTTCACATAAAATATAAATCCATTTCTCCCTTTTTTTTCTCCCTCCTACCTTACCTCTCCCAAAAAAAAAGTTTTTTATATTCCAGTTAAGAAAAAAACGTGATCGTAAAATGAATGAATGTTTAATTTGTTCGTTTCAGATATTTTTAATTTATTTATTTATTGATTTTAAACAAACACAAAAAAATGTTTTTAATAATAACAAATTACTTAAGTAATTATCGCGTTGTGAAAATTTATTAAAAATCTTTAAAAATAAAATTTTCTCGAATTTATTTATTTGTTACAATTGTTTTTTTTGGGGGGAGGAAGGGGAGTAGAAAAGGGGAGTGTGGAGTTTGGAAGGAAGAGGGGTCAATTACCCCAAGAGGGGGTAATTAATGTTTGGAACTTGAAAAAAAACGAGAACTTTGGACGAAATTTAGGAAGGAAAGAGAAATTTTTTTTTTTTCGTTTTGTCGTGGAATCAAAATTAAATTAGTAAATGACACGTTTTTTTTTTATTTGTGGAATAACTTCAAAGCTTTGATTATTCTACGTGATGATTTTTCTCGTCATTTTTCCATTTAATTGTTATTTTTCCCTTTCGTGTAATTTGAAATGTAAAAAAAAAAAAAAAAAACGGACAATAAGTATCAATAAAACCACAGCACACGAACCTTTTTTTTTTTTTATTACTTTAATTTTTTATTTAAATTAAATCGATGGTAATAAAAAATAATAATAATAATGATGATGACGATGCTAAAACTTCACATCGAATAATGTTTTTTTTTTTATTTAAAATTATTCTAGAAGGTTTTCCGTTTTTTTTCCCATCGATTTAAAATTTTCCATTTTGAAATTCAATATGGCAGTTGGAAAAGCAAAGGTTTTTTTTTTTTTAAAACGTGAATTTTATATATTTTTTTTTTTTCACAAAAAATAAACATAATTAGATATGTATGTAGTAGTAGTAATAATAATGATGTTGATGATGATGAAACTGATAATGATAAGCTTTACTTCTCATCGTTTAAAAACAAAAAAAAAATAAAGAAAATGTTTTCGTTGAAGTTTCATTTTTATTTTTCTTTTTTTTTTCATGCCCCTTAAAAAATAAAAAAAATAAAAGTTTTTGCCAAGCTTTCTCTCTCTCTCTCTGTCTCCTCCCCCCTCTCTCTTTCTCTCTCATCTTGTCAACTCTTATTTTTTTTTTTTTTCTTATTAAAACCAAATCCAACCCTTTTTTCTTTTTTTCTTTCTCTCTCTTTTTTTTTTATTCATATAAATAACATTGGCTTAAAAAATTATTTTCAAATATCAGATTATTTAATATTTTTCAACATTTCAATTTAATACTATTATTATTATCATTATTATCGTTACTCTCTCTCTCTCGAGAGAGAATAAGGATTAAGGGTGCGGTAAAATTAGAGAGAGACAGAGAGAAAAGGAGAAAAAAGGGGAAAAAAGAGGATGAAAAATAAAAACGAAAAAATAATATAGAAAGGAAAATGGAAAGATAGAAACAGATAGATGGATAAATACAATAAGAGAGAGAGAGAGATGGATGAATAAAGAGCGAAAAGTATATAAAAATTGCGTAGGTCTAAAATGTCACCAC